GGTGGGCAGATCACCTAAGGTCAGGAATTCAAGACCACCCTGGCCAACATGGTAAAACCTCATCTCTACTAAAAATACAAAAATTAGCCAGGCGTGGTGATGGGTGCCTTAATCCCAGTTACTTGGGAGGCTGAGGCAGGAGAATGGCTTGAACCTGTGAGGGGGAGGTTGCAGTGAGCCAAGATCATGCCACACTGCACTCCATCCTGGGAAACAGAGCAAGACTCCATCTCAAACAAAAAAAAAGCACTCAGGAAACAATCCCTGGCACACAGGCAGTGCTCAGTACTCTACTCTCTGTCAGTACTCGCTGGGCAAAGGTAAACAAACAGGCTCTGGCCTGAGGAACTCAGAGTTACCTAAAATTTAAAAGGCCGCCAGGTGTCTCCATTTTCGCAACTCCTTACCCTTAGCATGCTCTTCTTGAGGGCAGAGATTTATTTATCCATGTGAGAAAGGGCTTAGCAAAAGAGAGCACCCAGGAAGAAGGCACCAAACCAAATAGTTTCCCAGCACCTTCTCTTAATGCTGGCCATGTGTCAGGACTTACTGACTGACTCTTCATGGGAGCAGTGTAATAGATTTCTAGAAGTTCTGTTTGGTTCCTTTTCAAATCTGCCATTAAATGGTTTTCTGCTCCCAATAGTGATGTTTAAGTTTTAAATTTTGTGTGCAGAATTTTTAAAAAGAATTCATGTCTGTGAATTACAGTACCTGAAATCTGCATTCATCTTGATTTTTTTTTTTTTAGATGGAGTCTCGCAGTCTCGCTCTGTGGCCCAGGCTGGAGTGCAGTGGCGTGATCTTGGTTTACTTGGTGGTTTCCTGAAGCCGAAGATATATGTGCCTTTTTCAAGATAGGTTTTTGTTTTGTTTGGGTTTTGGGGATTTTTTTTTTTTTTTTTTGAGACTAAGTCTCTCTCTGTCACCCAGGCTGGAGTGTAATGGCGTAATCTTGGCTCACCACAACCTCCACCTCCCAAGTTCAAGTGACTCTCCTGCCTCAGTCTCCCAAGTAGCTAGAATTATAGGCATATGCCACCATGCCCAGCTAATTTTTGTATTTTAGTAGAGACGAGGTTTCACCATGTTGGCCAGGACGGTCACAATCTCCTGACCTCGTGATCTGCCCACCTTGACCTGCCAAAGTGCAGGATTACAGGCGTGAGCCACTTTGCCCAGCCTGAGCTTTCTTGATCTGTTATACCATGCTCTATTCCCTAGGGTACAAAAACACTCATCAATAATCACAACTTCCTAAGGAAGAGCTTTAAAAAAGAAATCCTCTTTCCTGCTCCTTCAACTGTTCTGCTCAGTACTAAGGCAGCCTTTTCCGTAGTTCCATGGGGCCAATGGTGTGGGTTGCAAAGTGGATTCATTTCACTTTAGACTTGAGGGCAACACCCCTTGGGGGCTCAGCCTACTGTGAGGAGATCTGGTATATGGCTCACCACCTTGGGAGGCCCTGGATTTTCACTTGTGTTCTTCTTGTCCTGTGTGGTTGTGTTCTGTTACTAAGAACAGGAATGATACCGAGCTCGGATTTATAATTTGGAGGCAGGTTCGCGAGAAGAAAACACCAAGCCGAGAATAAAAAGGTAAAAGAAGAGAATTTTATTTACAGAAGGTTATAGGTAAAGGAAAAGAATTTTAGTTACAAAAGTTTATAGGTAAAAGAAGAGGATTCTATTTACAAAAGGGACATACCTAGAGACCGTCCGTCCGGACACTCGGCACCCGCGTTACAGCAGCACGGGCAAAACGCAAGTCAGAACTTTAAGCACTCTCTTTTCAGCACCGGCATTACAGCAGCACGGGCAAAGCGCAAGTCACAGCTCTCAGCAATCTCTTTGTCTCTCTCTCTCTCCCTCTCCTCAGCATCGGCATTACAGCAGCACGGGCAAAACGCAAGTTAGAACTTTAAGCAATCTTTTCGTCTCTCTCTCCCTCTTTTTTCAGCACCGGCATTACAGCAGCACGGGCAAGGCGCGAGTTACAGCTCTCCGCAATCTTTCTCTTCCTCTCTTTTTTCCTCTTTCCGTCTTTCTTTGGTTTTTGTCTATATTTTATATGTTGCAGTTTAACTTAGGTTATAGTAAACACCAGCTGCTCTTTGTCTTGTCTCTCACGAACATTATCATTATGTAACAGCAATCCTTGGCTTTGTTTACGGTTCTCAAAGAGACGGGAATTGGCCAGATTCCCGGCTCCTCGGACATAAGCCAGGGTCATCATGAGCTCCTAATGCCCAGGGCTTACTGCCAAAGAAAAGATAACTTTAGTTCCCAAGGTCCAAGAAACTTAGAGCAAACACTGGGCATGACTTTTTTTATATTAACCCTACAGGTTGACAAACCGAAACTCACAGGTTTAATATTGGTAAATACCCTCATGTCATATGTGGCCTTGGTGTGCCAATATCCTAATCCTGTTAACCATCTGGTTACCAGCTTTCTTTCCATAATTGGCCTGAGCATTCCTCATACTTTTAAGCACTTCAGTTTATTTATTTGTTTGATATAGAATCTCACTCTAGCCTAGGCTGGAGCGCAGTGGTGTGATCACTGCTTACCACAGACTTGACCTCCCCAGGCTCAGGTGATCCTCCCAAACTTGTAGTTGGGACTACAAATGTGTGCCGCCATGCCTGACTAATTTTTGTATTTTTAGTAGAGACAGGTTTTCACCATGTTTCCCAGGCTTGTCTCGAACTCCTGGGCTCAAGAGATGCATCTACCTTGGCTTCCCAAAGTGCAGGGATTACAGACATGAGCCACCGCACCTGGCAGAACTTCAGTGTTTTGTTTTGTTTTTTATAATTTTTTAGATACAGGGTTTCATCATGCTGGCCAGGTTGCTCTCGAACTCCTGGCCTCAAGTGATCCGCCTGCCTTGACCTCTCAAAGTGCTGGGATTACAGGTGTGAGCCCCCACGACCGGCCGGAACTTCAGTGTTTTTAAGAGGATATTTTAATATATTGTCTAACATAGTCATTATCTTCAAGGAAGGATTAACCGAAGAAAGTAGTCTACCATTACAAAAGAAGAACCCCAGGGCTGGGCGCTGTGGCTCACGCCTGTAATCCTAGCACTTTGGGAGGCCGAGGTGGGTGGATCACCTGAGGTCGGGAGTTCAAGACCAGCCCGGCCATCATGGTGAAACCCCACCTTAAAAAAAAAAAAATTTAAAAATTAGAAGAACCCCAGAAAACCCACTTTCAGAGACAAAATAGGCCCAGCACAACTCCCTCCTTCATTGACCTGTGAAATTGTCCTCTGACACCAAGGCAATAATATCACAGGTAAATATCATATGGCCCAAGTACCAGGGGACACCCTCACAAGTCACAGCCACCCCTCAACATGTAGCTGTTATTCAGTGACAACTCCACACAGTGACATCATGCTAATGTCACCCATCAATGCTCTGGAAGGTGACAACTCAAAACGGTATATTGCTTCGACAAACAAGTGTTGAGTACCCACCCGGTGCCCGGTGCTGGGGTTACAGCAGAAAACAAGACAAACAAGATTTCTTCCTTCATAGAATTTATAGTTTGGCAAGAGCAATGGACAATGAACACATATCAAACAAATAAGTCCAAAGGGTAAAAAGTTCTATGAAAGAAAACAACACATAAGAACATGGTGGTCAAGCGTGGTGACTCATGCCTGTAATCTCAGCACCTTGGGAGGCCAAGATGGGCAGATCACGAGGTCAGCAGTTCAAGACCAGCCTGGCCAATATGGTGAAACCCTGTCTCTACTAAAAATACCAAAATTAGCCAGGGGTGGTGACATGTGACTGTAGTCCCAGCTACTCTGGTGGCTGAGGCAGAAGAATCGCTTGAACCCAGGAGGTGGAGGTTGCAGTAAGCTGAGATCACGCCACTGCACTCCAGCCTGGGCAACAGAGTGTGACTCTGTCTCAAAAAAAAAAAAAAAAAAAGAACCAGTGTAATGAGTCAGAGTGGACAGTTCTACTTCAGATTGGATGTCTTGGAAAGTTTCTCTGATGAGGTAGCATTTGAGCTGCAACCTGACGGATGAGAAGAAGCCTGTCATGGGAAGAACCCAGGATGGTGAATACCAGGAAGGGAAAAAGCAAGTGCAAAGACCCTGAGATAGAAGGGTTCTTGGCCCAAGGAACAGAAAGGAAGCCGTTTTGGCTGGGGCGGAGTGAGATGGCAAGTGGTGAAACATGGGATCAGAGAGGGAGACAGGACCAGATTACAGGAGGTCTTCTCTCTTAGGCCTTGGGGAGGAGTTTGGATTCAAAGAATAAATTGAAGCCGGCTGCCAGCACTTTGGGAGGCCGAGGCGGGTGGATCACCTGAGGTCAGGAGTTTGAGAGTAGCCTGGCCAACATGGTGAAACCCCATCTCTACTAAAACAAAAATAAGCCTGGCATAGTGGTGGAGGCCTGTAGTTCCAGCTACTTGGGAGGCTGAAGCAGGAGAATCGCTTGAACCGAGGTGGGGGGGAGACACGGGGGGGAGGTTTCACTGAGCCAAGATCATGCCACTGCACTCCAGCCTGGGCGACAGAGCGAGGCTGTGTCTCAAAACGTACATACATACATACATACATACATACATGGAAGCCATTGAGGGACCATGTGACTGACACTCTGAGAAGATCGCTGTGGTCACGGCTACCCCAGTCAGAACTGTCTCGCGTAAAGATGGGGCACTGCTCCTCTCTGTATCACCACCTGTCGCTCATCCCAGATCTAAGCAGGGCGACCCCTTTTTCAGGAGTCCTCCTTCCAAGTACCTGTCTCCTTTCAAACCTACTCGGGAACGTAACATGGCCCAAGAGAAAATGCCTTCTGATTCGACAAATAGTGCGAGCGACCTTCTCGGAATCGGGCGGAGCCCACTGTGATTGGTTATAAGCTTTTGTTCTCGTCCAGTCAGACAACTATCGCGATGAGTGCTATTGACCCCTGAGACACGTACACTCTCTGATTGGCTCTCCATGCATGAGTGACGGCAGGCACAGCCTGTAGACACCAGGACGCAGCGGCGCAGCCGGGGGCTGTGGGCGCTGCAGCTGGAATCCCTGGCTGTCAGTGCACCTCCAGCTCCGCACCCTGACCCCACGCGCAGCCCCCGCTATGGCAGCCCCGCCGCAGCTGCGGGTTCTACTCGTGGCCGTCAACGCACTGCTGCGCAAGCGCCGCTACCACGCTGCGTTGGCCATGCTTAAGGGCTTCCGGAACGGGGCTGTGTGAGTGGGGCCGTCGGGCAGGGCTGGGGCTGAGGGAATGTCCTGGCTGGGGTCGAAGGCGCAAGTTCGAAGTCTGACGACGCGGTGCTGTGTGCCTCTAAGTCTCGGAGGTCACTATCTGGCAACGGGGGCTGGATTTTGGGTTCCACGCGCATTCCCAGCTCTGACTGGGGCTGTCTGCACATTTTCTGGGTCTTCCATGCTTTGCAACCTGGCCCTCTTGCTTTGACCTCCTCCCATGCCAGCTCCTGTATCTCCTCTTTTGGGTCCAGTTCACCTCGCCTGGCTGTGTGCCTTTGGGCCTGTCTGGCCTCAGCGGCCCCATCTGCACAATGGCTAACTGGACTCTGGCCTCTAGCCGGCAGGTGGATGCCTCCTGTCTATGCTGTCCCCAGGAAGCTGCCCATGGGCTTGCATCCTCCTTCTCCCTCCTCAACTGTAGGACTCCTTTGCTAAGTCCCATTTGGCTCAGGGGGCTCCTGGGGTGTGACAATGAATGTAAAAGAAGTTGCAACTATCCTGGCATCTTACCTGCAAGAGAGGAGGTCTTGAGGTCATTGCCCTGACTGGTGCCTGGAGGGGAACTCAGCCTCCTTTAAACCTACTGCATAACAGCCACCATTTATTGATGGCCTGTAGAGCCAAAACCAGGGACAAAGCAAAGAACAAGCCAGAGAAAGTGGTTTGTGTCCCCCTGGAACTGGCATCCTAGTGGTAACATGGCATGGTGGGGAGGATGTGGATGCCTTGGTTTGAACCCTGGTCCCACCTACCCGTGTGACCTTGAGGAAGTCATTTAGCCTCCCTCAGCCTCAATTTCTGTAAAATGGGCTTGGTAGTAGTACTCATAGTATCAAGATTGAGTCAGTATATGTGAAATGTTGAGCACAGACCAAGTATGGTGGCTCGTGCCTGTAATCCCAGCACTTTAGGAGGCCAAGGTGGGCACATCACCTGAGGTCAGAAGTTTGAGACTAGCCTGGCCAACATGGCTAAACCCTATCTCTACTAAAAATAAAAAAATTAGCTGGGCATGGTGGCATATGCCTGTTGTCCCAACTACATGGGAGGCTGAGGCGGGAGAATTGCTTGAACCCAGGAGTGGAGGTTGCAGTGAGCTGAGATTGCGCCATTGCACTCTAGCCTGGGTGACAGAGTGAAATTCCGTCTCAAAAAAAAAAAGAAAAACAAAGTAAGCTTCATGAGGCCAGAACTTTATCTATTTTGTTCCTTGGTATATTATTATTATTTTTTTTTTTTTGGAGACGGAGTTTCGCTCATGTTACCCAGGCTGGAGTGCAATGGCGCAATCTCAGCTCACCGCAACCTCCGCCTCCTGGGTTCAAGCAATTCTCCTGCCTCAGCCTCCTGAGTAGCTGGGACTACAGGCACGCGCCACCATGCCCAG